CTACAATGGTTCTCCTACATCTGGAAAGCAAAGCCTTCAACCTGGCGAAAGCACGGGAACATACCTTTGCAGGTTGTCCCTCTAGTCTCTTCCTCCCGAAGTAAAGGAGGGCAAGCGAGAACGGACTCTACGGCAGATGCGAAGTGGACAGGTGTTATTACCTGTTTCTTTCCAGACTTCCTTTCAACCCTATCCATTTCCTACCAGAGCCCAGGTCAGCTCGAGAGTGCGGTGATTGTAATTATACTGAACTGGCAGCACGGCTCTATTGTGGTTTTGCTTTTCTGCAGGCGATTGCCCCTATCTTATGAACGCGGAGAATTAATTCTGGGAGCAAATTCCCTATTTCTCTGGTGTCATTCTCACTTATTTTCCAAGCAACCCTTACATTAAATGAATGCTAAAGTTCCTCAGCAGGGTTGAGGTCTTGCCAGTTCTCTGAGCTACCAGAAAGCAGTAGTAGTAGGTTGTCATCTCCTGTGCGGTGCAGCCCTGGGAGGGAGATGAGGTATATGTTTGACTAGTGGTTTTTGCTCCTATTTGCTGGTGGGGTTCAGGCTCCTGGGTCTATTCCAGGTTGTGAGGGCAGTGGGTACAGATTATGCCCCATCTCCACCAAGCCCTTCAGGGCTCTCCAGACTGTCCTTCTCTGTGTTTCACTCCCTTCTGCATCCCATGTCTTCATAAACCCAACTTTGCCGTCTTCATAGGCCCAACTTTGCACCTTCTTGCTGCCCAGGAGGAGAGCTGAGGCAAGGGTGGGCTGAACAAGATAGATGTTCTTCCTGCTTTTAGTGCCTCCATGCATCATCCCATAGCCCTCATCAGGTATAACGGGCTGGAAGGAGGCACCATTGCTGGAAAATACTTTGAAAATAAAATAGGTGCAGTCGGGGGCAGCGGGCAGGAGAGGTGAAGGGGATGGAGCATGGTCAGTGCAGATGTCATCTTCAGAGAATCTGCAAAACTCTTACATCTCTCCTGGGTGTATGTGGAGCAAGACGTTCAGAGGCTTGTTCGAGGAGAGTTTCACAGTGGTGGCAAAAAAAAAAAAAAAAAGCCCATTCTCAAGGCAGAACCTGCATCAAATTGCAAGCCTTTGCTCCAGAGGAGCTAGCATTTCTCAATGAAATGGTTACACACACAAAAAACGTGACTCGAGAAAACCCTTTCCCCCCTAATCTCTGTCTTAGAAAATCTGAGCCTTGTTTGCTGCCGCATTTTCCCCAAGAAATTCAGCTCGGAGCACAGGTCCCAAACTGAGACTGTTTCAGCCCAAACAACGAATTAAAGTTGGGCAAACAATCATAAGCAACTGGGAAACAGGGTCTTACAGTGCACGGAGAAGAGGAAGGACAACTGCTCCCCCTTGATGCAGAGAGCAGGGCACAAAGCAATGGCTTGCAATTGCAGCAAAATTAGTTTAGAAGAGCCATCGGGGGGAAAAAAAACTTCCCGGTGATCAGAGCAGCGCAGCCAGGGAAGTTGGGGAGCGTCCGTCACTGGAGGTTTTCAAGAGGAGCCTGGATAAGCATCGACCGGGGGGTGATTGAAGAAGAGCATTTGTGCAGGGGGTTGGTCCAAAGGACCCTGTGGTTCTGTGAATATAAAGCGTCAGGTTATACAGGCATCACGATTTGTGCACTATTATAGATATAACTATATTTTTATATATAATAAATATATTGTAATGCACTTAGTCCCTCCTACCCAAATCTTTCTCATGGCATTTAGACTGAAACAGCCCATACATCATCAACTATAGGGTCCAACATGACATGTGCTAGCTCCCTCCATGTGTGCCCTCCTTTCTTCCCTGTCCCCTGGGTTTATTCTGTCTGCTCGTTGGGGCAGGGGCAAACTCCTGCCTTGTCTGTACACAACAGGGTTTCCATTTTTGGGTGGTCTCTCCGCACTTCGAAATGCCATTAGAAACCAAGGGTATTAACCACATCGTATTTACATTGTAATTCTTCTCAGCCCGACAGCCAATTTCCTGATTAGACAGATTAATGGTAAAAGCAGGTATTTTGAAGCACCACCACAGAGTAATTGGGCTATAACTGTTGAGTAATTCCAGTGTAATTATAGGCACTGCAGTTCCCAATGATTTTGTTTACAGACTTGGCCAACCCCGGTTTCTTCAGCTGGTGGGTTTTTGGCTTTCCGGGCCCAGCAGGTTTTGCAGGGGGTCGTGGGAGGAAATGGAAGTGTGTGCAGGCAGGGAAGAGCAGTGGGGGGAAGGCTAGTTCAGAAGAAAGACACGCTCGTGGCATCCCTGCATGCATCACAGCGGCTCCCATCTCGCTGCTGGATCTCCCCCCAGAAGCACATTACACTGCAAACTTGTCAGGCAGCCGTTCTTCTTGGAAGCAGTCGATCCTTGCCAAGATGAGGAGTATGATCCAGAATTGGAGGTGTGCTCCCCCTTTAAAAATAAATGCTAAAGCCCCAGCTGGTAAGAGGTGGTTTAATTCAATTCTTAACCATTCCCCACCTGCTTGGAGCAAGGAGAGACGCCTGTTGTGTAATCTGTCTCCTTTCCTTTCCATTTGCAATTCATCCCCTCTGTCCCTGCACACAACCAACTGGAGCAGCACACAGTGCTATGAAGTCAGCCCTCCTTTTTGGCACGTGAAGGTGTGTAGCAAAGCCCTGGCTCGAAGGCACGGAGCCAGAGACTGCAGTGGAAAAGCGGGTTGGATGCTTTTGCTAACATTTGGATAAAAAGAAAGCCTTTAAAGGTGGAGCGGGGTTATGTAAGGAAGCCTGACTTGTTTTTAAAAGTCCCTGAGGTTGTGCCGGCCTGGGGCACGGATATTTTTGCAAAGCAAGTATTAGAGAAGCTGCCCTTGGAAATTCGGGGGTTGAATTTTTGCATAGAAACTTCACATTTTTTAAAGGGGCAACATCCGTGAGACTTGCCTCGTTTTTCAGCCACCCCCCAAAGCCATTGAAACCTTACAGAAAATTGGATGTAGTGCAGTAATCAGTGCAAGTGGCACCTCTATGGAGATCTTGATCTCACTGTTAGGCTGTTGTCATGTTTTATATCCAGGGAGTGGGTGAGAAGGCAGCGAAAGCCGGCTCGCTGGAGCGGGTACTGGCAGCATCCCAGTAAAACATCTGCTTTTTATAACCAAATAACACAGGTGCTTTGAGAGAGAGAAGCTTTTTGCTCTGATCATTAAAGTACAGACCATACAGATAAGGCTGGGAGCCTCAGCAGGTTTGGGGTATCGCTTTCTTGGAAGAGGTAGATTGAAACGGAGGCAGCATCGTGTCTCATATGGTAGTACCAGTACCTGTTACCACCAGCTTTCCAGTGCAGCCTGAGTCTGGGATGCAAACACTTACCCAACCACTATGCAGAGACCCTTTTGAAACATGAATGAGACATGCAAGCTGGAGTAAAACCAGCTTGAATTTAGTTACTTGTGTGCTTCCCCTGCATCACTCTGGCTGGGAGATGGCTCAGCTGCATTAAAATCCACCGTACCAAATCCAAACCTGGCAAGGCAGACAGGGGCCAACGACCAATGGTTGTTACAAGGACGCTCCCGTGGGAAAAGCCGGCTTACAAATTACTTCAAAACCTACCGGTGAAGGGCCGTAACAGACTGCACCAGCCCGCTGGCTGGATGGGATGCAGAGTTACAGATGAGGAAGCAGAAAGTGGGGTTTCCTTACAGGTAACTCCCAACCTTTCAGTACGGTTTCTGCATACGAGATGCAGCACTGCAAGAAATGATTGCTGATGAAAATGCCTCTGCTGACCACATCCCCGGGTGCTTGACCGGCTTCCTCTGAAAGCACAACCACAAACGCCAGCTGGAAATCGGTCCTTGCCGGACATGCCTGACATCTTCTCTCAGCAGGGCGTGATGCATCCAAGGAAAAAAGGACCGAGTGTTACAGATGCATCTATGAAATGTAGTATTGTTCAGCTCAGCAAGTCACATCCGTTGCAACGGAAAGAAATAGGAATCAGGTTGCTGACAACTCAGAGCAACCAAGGTGAGGACCTGTGTAGTCCTCCAAAACGGGGATGGGGAGCAGAGGGAGAAAAACCACATCACTGGTTCTGTGCTTAGTGCCGACCCACCTGACTGAGATAGGAAGACCCCTCTTGTCACCTTTTAAATGACAGAGGAGAAGGGAGGAAGTCTCTAAACTCAGAACCTCAGAGCACCACTAAAATAAATACCCTTTTCCATCAATGCAAACACACAGAACAGCAAGAAGGCAAATGCTATGAACAGTGTTTAGGTCTGAAAAAAACTCCCTTAGGCTCTTTCTGCTCATTTCTCTCCAGCTATCTTGGAGATCTTGATTTTTCTACCTTAAACCCCTGTACGCAAGAAA